GCTCCAGGAAGGAAGGTAAGGATGGATTGGAGTACGGCACTTAGCATGAGGATGCTGCAGGGCTAGGCAGCCTTTTGTTCCCATGTGCATCACGTTGATATGAGCCAGGGCTTCTTCTATCACAGCTAGCAACAGGCCAGTTGACAAACCCTCCCTTAAACAAGTAGATGAACGCATATAGGCCTTCACAGAACATCTGAGAAAAGAAACACGGAAGAGTTCTCGAGATCCATCTGAAGAGCACAAACATGTAGAAAGATAGCCTGCAGGGACCGGTTTGTGACCACAGTTCTTTGAATGTGATTGTAAGTCACGACATACAATTGACCGTTACCAACTGGGAGCAGGGGAAGAAAATGTGTTAATTGTTTTACATGCAATATCATTATGTTGCATTCATTTCTCTGCTTTTCGGGTCAGTAGACACTGGGGTTCTGTGTCCTCAGTCAGCATCTTAGCAACTGTGTGGTTCTCCACCACGGTGAGCGACCGCTGCGAACTGCCAGCTCTCGGGCAGAAGGAGGCCTTTCCCCTGCTTTAGTTTCTCACTTGCCTTTAATGATAATTCATCCACTCAGCAGACTTTATTGCCTACGATATGATCTGAAAACCTAATAAAAATCTCCTCTATAAGGAAAAAGCCACATAGCACATTTGACAAAAACACCTTTAACTCACTCATGGTGCTGTACATCATCACCCTCTGGTGACTTCTCAGGGTTACCGAGCCAAATGCATTGCTGAAATCACTCAGCATAAGGAAAGTTATAATGCTTGGGAAGCTCTGTGGTGAACTTTCACTGCAGCTGGGTACTCTGCTCCCCAAGGAGAATGACTCATTTCAATCTGACTCATTCTAATTGGAGTAGGTTTCCTTTAGGGAGCAATGTTTACTTTTTAGACTAAAACGGGCAACGAGGGATTTGTTGCTTGCCACCACTTAACAAGGCCGTGTTTGCAAGGCCTCCTCAGGAGAGCCTGCCGCTTTCCTCTGCAGCAGGCAGCCTTCCATGCGATGCTTGCTATAATCCCCATGGTTCCAGGGGCTAGCGCTTCCCTTCAGGAGGATTACCAAGAGATTAGCACACCATCTGCTAACACAGGGGAGGGTGCACTCTGACCCAGAGGCTAACCACCAGCTAACAACCAGTAAATAAAGCTTTACTGGATTCCACCTGCACTGTCATAGTCATCTAGTGCCACAAACCAGAAATGCCACATGTAGATGGCTTTGACAAACACTTCCCCTCCCCCTCCCTCCACCCCCGCCCCCCAGTTTAGGTAACTAGAAGCCTGGATTCAGGGAGATGGCTATAGGGAAAGCATTCTTGTTCTGTCAGCTCTGGGGGGCAAAGACCTTTGTCTGTTGAGCTGTTTCCTGGTTCTGGGGAGATCTCCCCAGGGAGATCTCTGGGGACTATTGGTGGTATATTGGTTTTGAGTTGGTCTGGGATCTGCATGGTCAGCAGTTTGAAACCACCTGTAGCTCCTTGGGAGAAAGACTGGACTTTCTATTTCCGTAAACAGTTTCAGTTTCAGAAACGCACAGGGACTCGCGATGTGTCCCTCATTGACTCAATGGTGGTGTCTGGTTGGTTTGGTAGAGACCTCCAGGTGGCTTGGCATCTATATTTTCCCATCTCTGTTTGTTTCCTTGGCTTTTTATATTCTGAAGAGACTGACTGAAGACTCATCCTAGACAATGTCGGCCTCATTAACGTAACAAAGACAACCCCTTCCCAAAGGGGGTTTTGGCCACAGGCATAGAGATTAGGATTTATAACACATATCTTGGTGAGCCACAACTCAACGCATAACATATGTCCATTTGTTTACACGCGGTGGCTGCTTTTACACTACAACAATGACATTGGACATTTACAGCACAGACTGCACGGCCTGCAAAGCCTAACGTATTTCTTATCTGGCCTCTTATTGCACAGATTTGCCCACCTTTGTTCTGAAATATAGGATGCTCTGTTGACAGTAAACTACAGTGTCTATGCCACTGAGTACAAGGACTGCATTGTACAATCCTCAAGTCCAAATGAACTCAGACATTCATAAAATCTTAAGTGGATTAGTATTTTTGCTACTAATCCCAAATATTTTGAATTACTAGAGATTCATTTCTTTGAAGCCAAAAGAAAGACAAAACTCTCTCATCTTCTGTACTCTCCTAGAATAGAGTCATGGATTCTGGCTATGTCATGTCATCTAGTTATTTTTTTATGTCTATGATGTAAGATCATCATTAAAAAGAAACAAAAATAAAACTCACTGCCGGTGACTCACAGCCACTCTATCGGACAAAGTACACTGCACTTTTGGGTTTCTGAGGCTGTGAATCTTTATGGGAGCAGAAAGTCTCATTTTTCTCTTGGGGAGAAGCTGGTGGGTTTGAAGTGCTGATCTTGCATTAGTAACCCAATGTGTAACCACTATGCCACCAGGTCTCCTTAGAGGACCACAAGAAGAAATTAATTAGTCAATGTGTGTATTCATTTCTTTACATCAACAAATATTTACTGAGCACTAGGCACAATGCTAGGCACTCAGAAGGCAGAGATGAAAAGGGTTGACTGAATTACAAGACCATTTAAGCAAGAAGAGAGACATGCCGATTCATTGCAAGAAAACATATGTGATAGAAGTTTGCATGATGAGTTAGGGAAGCCTCAAAGGATAGGCCGAGAAGCTTCCTCAGAGAATTGGCGTCTATTTTTGTCTTCATTTTATTCTTTCTATTCTCAGATATTAAATATGACGATTTCTATAATCACTTGTGCCACTTTTGTTCTTAAGGGAGGATGAGATGAATGTGAAGTCCATTATCCAAGAAGTAGCTGTGGCTTCAGATAGAGAAGGAGCTGAATGTATACACAAGTAAGCTGAAGCTTCATCTTGCTTCCAAGCCTATGAATAATTATAAAATGTACTTATATACACACAGGCACATACACAGGCACACTCACACATACCTCTTCCTCTTGTAACTGTGAATTCATTTTCGTTACATTGTAAGCTCTTACTAGAAGGCAAGGCTATACTGCCTTGACTCTGTTTTGGTGTCTGACCTATTCGCATATGTGGGTGGTGAGGCATTAGCTATGATGCTTCCTGATAATCATGAGTTGGTCAGTAAAGACGTGGCAAATAGAATAGAGAAGGACAGGTTGTTGACTCATAACATAATTTCTTGACTACTATGAAGAGACTCAAAGACAAGCACTCAGCCAGACTTCTCAATACCCCTTCTCTTCTGCAGCAGCATGGTCTGACCAGGACAGGTAAGGAGATATGTTCCAATGACATTTTGAAGAAATAGCTCTACCTTTTCCCAGGTTGGAGATGCCACCCATTAGGGGGAACTGGCATGATGCAGGGTGACTGGAAAAGCAGACATCTCTACTTTATCCTGGATCGTTGACTAGGTTACAAATGTTTTTAATTGCCAGGGAGCACTGAGTAACTTTTTTGTTTTCCAGAGAAGGTGATGGCATATATTCTACATGAAAGTGCAATCTTCCTTGTCATGGAATAATTGGATGGATTTGCTTTCCAGAGGCTCTGAATTCACAGACTCTTGGAGTACTTAAAAGTCGCCCCCTAAAGATTCAGTCATGTGAGCCCTAAACACTTCGGTCTTCTCTGATCTTTGGTTAAATTGCATTTTCTCCCAGTTTAGGAATGACAGTCTTTGAAGAAAGATGAATTTCATCTTTTCATGTTGACTGAGTGTGTAACAGATGTCCATCTGCCAAAGTCAGTTCTTGACAAGCTCTCTTACTCCTGTCTCCCTTTGATACTCATCAGTTAAACGTGTTTATCGTAATCTGTGGTTAACAAGTTAATTGCATTACATAATAGCTAAAATACTATTTGAAATCTATACACATTACCTGCTTCTTTGGGCCATTTTGAGGGAATAGCATTAATATAGAACAAGGAATTATACTTTGGGAAAAACAAGATTATTTTCATTCCTAAACTAGTAGATAGCCTAGCCAATATAATCCCAAAATCAACCTTTTAAATTGATCAATTTCTGTTCTCTTTTTTACAAAAAGAAAAAAAGAGCTTTTAAAAATGCAGTGTATTTCATCAGCTTAAAGATGCAGAAGTCAACAGTGACTTGAATACTGCAAGCATGTCACTTGATCTTCCAATTCCAGGGCCTTTCTGGAAGGGCTCTACAATCTCTTGAAATAAAGTGAAATAGAACTGACAGATATCATCTGGTTTCAGAAAAAAGAAATATTATGCTACACTGACTCCTGAAATTGACTATTGAAATACTTCACTTTTCTACTAGGGCCAGCTGGTTATAGCATGATCAGTGGATGATCTGTCCAAAGGCAGTCAGTCAGACAAGATCGGCTAGGACTGGGACCTTCATGATCCACCCACTCTGTCGAGGCTTCTTCCCATCATGCCACCATTGTCATGAGCTGTTGTTCATCACTTTATCAGTTGCTCCGTTTTGTCACTTTTCATAGAAATGCATGCAAACGTTTGGTATAAAATGGAGAGGGCTGGATTCCCTCTGATGGTTTCTATGTGTGGACGCCCCGCGCAGAGCGGCTCCATGCTGGGCAGTAAATCTATGTTCTCCCACATCCTCTACGGAAAACTGCAAGAATTCGAAATATAAAGCCAGAACCTTTCAACAATGATGATTCTGCTAAGCTGCTAACTCTTAAGTGGCATCCTATCTGATGAAATGGATCTCTTTGTGCTCACACCAAGTCTAGAGTTCTCTATTAGCAGCTACAGCGAAACACCTACGTCAGGATATCGGCTATGGGAAACCTGACACACTTTTCCAATTTTTAAAGAACTCTCCGTCTGGAAAGAAATGGGAATTTTCCTTGTCAAATCTTTTGGTGTACTTAACCAAATTTCATTTGTGCGCACGTACAAATACACTAGAAGAGCGGTGGAATACATTCAGTCTCTACAATAAGATCACACGTGGTCATTGGCGGTAGCTTGCTTACCAGCTGCTGTCCTTTAGGGCCCCATCCTGCGTACTGCAGTTTGGCGTTGCTCACTTCTGGTGGATCAAGGCTTTGGGGATCCCTAGAAGAAGAAGAAGAAGAAAAAAGAGCAAAGAGTGGGAATGAATAATTTAAGCTGTTATAATTCTGTCTTCTAGCTATAGTTGTCTACTTTCTACTCTCATTGTAGTAATTCAGAAGCTTGCCTCCTGTGTTATTAAATAATATGTCTCTGCCAATTGCCAACTGTTCTCATTAGATGGATATAATTTACGTGAAGCTGAAACTGGTGCAACACTACCAAACCCAAACGGTAAATATTTATCAAGGGGGAGCACACAGAGAGGTCTATTGATCAATATTTCAAAAATCCAGAACTGTCAGCGTTAAAATCTTGAATGCATAGCATTTGCAGGAGGAAATACACAGAATCTATGTCTCCATCGTGAGGTCTCCTAATGGGGGTGTTTCTCTTAGCATTACGCCAGGTTAGCATGACCTTCAAAACAAGCAGCCTGCTGACTGATCCCACTTTTGGTTTGTGTTGACAGCTGCGACAGCTGCAACTCTGCTTCCAGAGACAGACAGACAGACAGACAAATGTATTATTTCTTTTCTATCATCATTTCTAGCTTTCTTTTTTAATTTTTGAATATGCAAAATACAATCACAATACAATCTCATTCATTTACCGAATGGCATAGTGCACAAAGGACACAGTGAAAGAACGAAAACAGCTAACCCTTCATAACAAGGATGAAATGTTTCAGTAGATTTTACAGCTACTGCTGTCAGTCACATGTAGAAAAGATGAATTTCCATCTTCCTTAGAATGATGCCGTCGTCCGTATGAATAATTAGGCATGTGCTCTGCAGAGTGGACTGAGTCAGGCAAGCTCCTATCACTTGGCTATTACAATATTTCTTATGTGGAAGACACAGGTATGAATGACTCATTCATCTGTAGAGGGGAGTTTGTTAAATGGTCTTTGAGAAAGTTAGGAACTGAATTCTCAACAGCCCTTGAAGAACGGGTATGAAGGGAAGTTGGGCAAAATGAGTAAGCGACTGCTGATTCAGGGCTGGGCTCAGTAGAGCAGCAATTGTTAAAGATGAATGGATTAAAGAGTAAAACTTATTTGTGATATGAGATCTTCTATAATGTTCAGGAGAGTTTTAAATTATATTCCCGAGCCTGAGAAAGTACCAGCAGGATAGATAGAGGAAGACACTGATCATGAGAATCAGCAAAGAAGGCTAATGTTGGAACATTTACAATTCATAATAGGTCTTTTTTTTAATAATAGGAGGTCTTATCATTCTAGGTTCCAAAAGGAAATTTAACAAATTCTACCACTTGTATCTTTTGAATGTTTCACAATATTTTCATAACCACCAGTGACTTCATTTTTTAACCTTAGGGTAGTGAAAGGCTTTTTCTAAGGATCACTCAAAATTTAAAAAGCAATAAAAAAAGAGATTGATAAGTTTGACCACATAAAATTTTCACAATTTTAATATGGCAAAACATCATGAAAAAAAAAGATAGTCGACAAACTGGGAGAAAACATTCATAACCTATACAACAGACTAATGGCTAATATGCAATGGATATGCTAACAAATAACCTAACTAATACATATCAATTTTAAAAACTACACTGAAGGAAATGGGGAAGAAATCTATAATATACTTACATATTAAACAATTTTCAGTTCTATTATACATATAAAGTAGTTTCAGAATTTTTAACTCTTATCTGTGAGAAGTACTTATTAATTATGTTAGAACATTGATTTAGTTTTTTGTATTTATCTTAGCTTTAGATACCTAGTTAAACACTGCTTCCCAAAGTGACCTGTGTTCTCTTTCTTCTGAAACTAGCTTATGTGTACACTAGAATGGAATAGTATTTAATAAATAAATATACTGTGGGTTTTACTTTTAGAAAGTCATAAATAAATGAGAGCCTCCTCTCTGAAATAAGCTGTGAGATGTATTGGATCAGAGGTAACTATCTATCTACCTATCCATCCATCCATTCCTCCATCTATCAATTGAGCTATCTACTATATACACACACCACACACATATGCACACATATAGAATACATAAACATCTGTGTATCCATGAGTTAGTATACATACTATTAATTCCCAGCTCTATATGCTAAGAGGGTCTAGAAGCAATGACATCTCATTAGCAATGAACACACCTGGGGTCCAGATTTTGGTTTCTGAATACCATCCTCTAATAAAAGCAAGCAGGGAACCTAAGAGAAACAATTTTATCCAGTGCTGGAGCACAGAAAATGGAAGATGAGTCTGGAGCATTTCAAGGGGTCAGAAAAGTAAGTTTCCAAAAAAAACAACAACCAACCAACCAAACAAACAAACAAAAACTCCCAAACTGGAAGTTTGTGGAAAGAACACAGATGTTAATTTAAAGGCATTCCTAATGGCCAAGGTTGGTATAATTTGAGCAATAAAATAAGTACTTATAGTATTGGCTTTTGATTCAAAGAATAAAATAGATATCCATGAGTCCATGTTAATGTAAATAAATAACAAGTAAATGTGGGGGTGGGGTTCAGCTCTTTTTCACAACAGAACTCCAATTAGTAAAATAAGAGAGAAATTGAATCATTTTGAAAATAAAACCACAGGGAATGCTAAAACTACTGGACAAATATCTGAAGAGAAATAGGACTTGCATACTGTATTAGGCTGGATTTTCTGTAGAAACAAACTAGTGACAACCCTCTAATAAGTATAAGACAGAACTTTCTATCAAGAAAGAATTTCATATTAAGGAAGCAGCCCAGCCCAGTCCAACTCAAGGTCATGGGTCAGATGGTAGCTGGATGTCCTCCAGATTCATGCAACTGTAGGCCAAGCAAGCAGGAAGGTGAAGCAGAAAATTGCAAGCTCACAGGCCAAGGGTGCAGTCACGTGGATTCAAGGTCAGCAGGCACATGGCAGGCTGCTAACACTTCCCAGGGCCGGAAGGCCACATGGTCTGCCAGTCCCAGAAGCAGGAAAGAGAGCAGCCCGAGAGACCAGTTCTCCACCGGGTCTCATACACAGGCCACATAGGAGATTCCATTCGATCAAACTAAACCGCTTTTTAAAAGTCAAGTATTTTCATAGCTTATACCTTATTAGTTATAAAAATTTCTGTAGAGAGGAATTAACAGATAATATCCCTTTCAACATCTTGATATTACGAAATGAAAAAAAATAGTGTCTAGCAACTGCATAGGAAACAACATACACATTTCCAACGACGAAGAAGTAAACATAGTTGGGTATGGAGGGAGCTTCAAACAAAAGTCTCTGGCCAGTTCAGAGACAAATATAATGGATTCCCTAGGTCAGAGTTTAATTGGAATTCTCCAGGAACTGACGATAGGAAAGGAGGGCAGAAGGAAATGCTTACATTCCACACTATTTTTTAAGATGCGTACATTAATTTTGTCAGCTTGTAGTTCCTCACAGATGTCTAGAATATGAAGGATCAACAGGGGATTAGCCTCTGTTTAATTTACCAAGTATGGATTTCCATGACCAATAACTGGGAAAGCATCTCTAAGTGGGCAATCCATCTTACAAGATTACCTGAGCACCGTGTCGCAATTACTGCTGCATTTCAATTTCTATTCACTTTTGCTCATCTATGTACAAAAGGAGCTTTATTCCGTCTCTAAACCGAAAACACATTTCCCATCTCTCACCATCAACACATTATACAGGTTTCTGAAGCATGAAGAGCCAACGACAAATTAGAAATCATAAGTTCTCTCTGAGTTTTGGGTGTTTTTCCTGAGGAGGAGGGATAGCTCTGCTCTATGGGAGAAAGATGGGGCTTTTTGCTCCCGTCAAGATTTATAGCCTTGGCACTCAAAGGGGGCAGCCCGATTTTGGCCTATAGGACTGAGCTGGGTTGGAAGGGACTCAGTGGCAATGAGCTTGGTTGGTTTTTCTGAGGAATCCTGGCTACACTCTCCCCCACAGAGTGATCATGATACTCAAGGAGCCCCTAATACACTCTGAAGGAGCCCTGCTGGCTCACTTTTTAACTGCTTGGCTGCTAACTTAAGGCCGTGGGTTGCTTTGCATGAGAAAGATGTGGTCAGGCTGCTTCCATAGATGTACAGCTTTGGAAACCCTGCAGGACAGTCCTGCTCTGACCTATAAGGTCACCGAGTAAGAACTGACCCAACAACAGGTTAATGCACTCTAAAGAAATAGTAATTGTTTTTGGTTTTGCCAGTTAATGAATATATCAATTTCAGTATCTCTCTCTCTTTTCTATCTATTTATCTATCATCTATCTAATCTAATCTAATCTAATCGATCTTTCTCTGGTGATAAATTAAACAAATGACTCCAAGATATCAGTAGTGTACTTCTGGAGTTCCAATAACGTCTCTTACTGAAAATTACAGAATATCAGGTTGCATCTCATTGAAAGAAAGCTGTGAGGAATTTTCTGAGAAAATTTCATGACATTCTCAATTTACTTCTGAATTCTGCCATGAACTAGCAGTGACACTGGGTTAATAGAGTAACTTAATCTATTCGCTCTCATTTTATAAAATGAGAATAATATTATCTCTATCAGAAGACTTGACTCTAACATATATATATATATATAAGAAAACAGGTAGCACAGCTTACCTAGAGATATGCAATAAATGCCATTTGCTTCATTGATAAACTGGTAAAAAACCTCTTAAGATATTAAGATTTAAGTGACCTTCAAAGAGTTAGTAGCGAAGCCCATAATTTTAAAAAATTCCCCTTTCCATGAACCGTTTGGGACTCCCTTTTATGTAGCCATGCACATCCATCCAACTTAATCAGTGATATCAACTGTTTGAATGCTGAAAAAATATTTTAACAGAAAGTCCAATAATAGATCTTATATAAGACAATTTTCCTGTATAGAACCCAGCAGTAAAAGCATATAGCCTAAATTCTTGTCTTTGATGGGAGATTGGATTTAGGGACCTTAATCCTGAACCATGTCTTTCATATCTGCCTTTATAAAACACATGTAGAACAAAGATAAAATACATAC